CATTTGCAGTTGGAAAAACAGCGGGGGGCGGGGACAAAGAGCAGGAAGGGAAAGGGTTAAGCAGGCCCTCTGTTTAAAAAAATGTTCTAATATTCCTAATTACATCAACTCCTTTTCAGTTTGATTGGGGGTTTTTTAAGTCCAGTATCCCCTATAAAATATCTAATGTTGGTTTGATTGTCTTTGCTTGAATAACCTTTATTTTCACGGCTCAGCACAGGATTTTTATTTTAAAATTAAGTGCAGATATTTAGTCAGGTTTATGTACTTTTCATTCAGTGCATTGTGTGTGCGAGAGAGAGAGAGAGAGAGAGAGAGAGAGAGAGAGGTGGCAATGAGGTTGCTATGGCAATTACTTGTCACTAATGATAGGAGGGTAATTAATGCAGTAGATTCCCACATAGCTGTTCAGCACGCAACTTAGACATCTCCCTGCTGTATATTTCTAAGTTTACCAGATTTGGCTCATTTTTACACTGTTACATATGTAGAATAATCCTTTGATCTTAACATATTAAAAAAATCAATTATCCATGCTTCTAGTAAACATATTTAGTCAGCTGCCGAGGCCTGCTCTTTACAGGATATTGACCAAGCAAAGTATTGCTGGGTGAGCCACCAATTAAGGGCTCAATCTGTCATGGTCTGCTGATCTCAAAGAACCCAGAGCTGGAAGCTGGCTTCTACTGAGTCAAACCATTGGCCCATCTATCTCAGTACTGTCGACACTGACAGGTAGCTGCTCTCCAGAATTTCAGGCAGGGGGGTTTCAGGCAGCCCTACCTGCAGATGCTAAACATTGACCTTGAGACCAAATGTTTTCCCACTGATTCCCTCGGGGGAAAACTGCTGGCTTGTGAGAAAGGGGTTGGTGAAGAAGGTTTTGTGGCTCCGCAGGGACCCGCCTTCAGCAGGGGTCAGGCATCAGGCCATTGGGTTATGGGCCTGATGAGCGGTCCAAAACAGTGAGCGGTCCAAAACAGACAAGGGTTGAGCTGTAGAGCAACAAGCAAGTCTCAGGAGGAGCTAGCAGTGGTTCCCAACCTTTTTTTGGACATGCCGCACCTAAGCATCTCTAATATCCTGTGACATATAAGTCTTATTATTCAAAAAGTGAACCCCAATTCATGTGAAGGAAGCCTAAAAGGCCATTAACTGTTAATAACTCATTCTCAAAAATGCCTTCCTTGAAAATCAAATTGCCCCCCTGTGGAGCGCGTGCCCCATGATGGGAACCATGGGGCTAGAGGGAAGTGTAGACTGTCCCCGGGACAGGTGAGGCTGCTGATCCCTTATTTTTGAGGCTGCTGATCCCTTATTTTCAAATCTGAAAGTTGACAGCTATGCCGCCCATAGGAGCATGGCACGCATCCTGGGGGTGTGGCACGCCACCCGTAGGGGCGCGGCACCCAGAGCGGGCAGGGGGGCAGCCACGATGGCACCCCACCGGGATCGCACTTCCAAGGGTGGTGAACTCCCCCTGCACTCCTCTTCCTTCGCCAATGTCAGCAGGGGATCAGGAGCACTGGGAAATTAGCATCCTCACACCAGAGACCTGTTGATTAGACTTGAGGACCAAGCGCTATGGCTTTGTAGAATGGGGATTGGCCCATGGTGTCAGCTGATTAAATGCTCTGGTGGGCTGGTACTTCAAGCCTAGATGGCGCCCTCAAGCAAAGAGTTCAGTCTCCCAGACCTGGCGTAGAAACAGAGTACTGGTGACTGGGCACTTGGTGTGGAAAAGTCACACTTGGCTCTTTCATATTTCTGAGAGCATCTGCATAGCATGCTTAAGGACCGCTGAACCAACCTGGATCCTGCAATCATCAGCTGAGGCCCTTTTTCACTTGCCTCCTCCACAAGAGGTCCAGAGGGTGGAAACATGAGAATGAGCCATTTCTACAGTGGCTTCCCATTTGTGGAAAGCTCTCCCTAAGGAGGCTCGCTTGGCGCCTTCATTGCATATCTTTAGGCACCAGGTGAAAACATTCCTTCCTTTATTTATTTATTTATCTATCTATCTATCTATCTATCCCCACCCAACAGCCTAGTACTTGTAAAAACATATTGTCAGGCCTTTGCAGACACTCCGTGTCCCTATTTTCCAGGGCAGATTTGTTCCTGCAATGTCCCGCTTTTCCTTAGGACGTCCCTATTTTCATCAGAGAAATGTTGGAGGGTATGGAGTTAAGAGACCCCCTGAGGCAAGGAGATAAGTAACTATACAACCTTTAGATGACGTCTGAAGGCAGCCCTGTATAGGGACATTTTTTAATGTTCAATGTTTTATTATGTTTTGACATATGTTTTAAGCTGCCCAGAGTGGCTGGGGCAACACAGTCAGATGGGTGGTGTATAAATAATACAGTTATTATGCCACCATGTGTAGGGGGCTGTATCCAGGTGTTGATTGAACGCAAAGGGATCTCTTTGCCTGCAATGAACATGTCCCAAGGAAAAAAACAACAACAGCCCCAAACTACTGTATTGGCCTGTCTACTAGGCACTCACGCAAAAAGCACAAATCCATTTCCTCCCCTTCCCCCTGCAACAAAAGGGAGAGCTCAAAACCATCTTGCGGTGATAGCATTTCAAGAGTGAAAAACTGAGCCAAAACAAATGCTCACAAAACGCAATTATTATTTATTTAGTTGCTGCAATTCAGTTCCTCCAAGAGTGGCCCTTGACATTTTACTGAATTTAGTTATGTCATTTAGATTTCGTAGCAGCTGAATACTGCGAATAAGAAGAAAGCTCTATCCATTTGTTTACTGATGACCTTCCATGTGACTTTAAAAATAAAACAAATGTGCTATAGCAACATGAATAATTGGCTCTTTTCATGAATTAAGCAGTTTCACAGTCTTATTTTTGCTTGCCTTGTTTATGCCTCGAGTGAGGCGTTCATAAATGTGGAGGATATCAGCTTTCCATGTGCAAAACTGCTGCGTTATTTGCTGCTCCCCGCACACCCCTGGGAGGTCTGTGGCCACTGCCTGTTCCCTTCCATGGGCCTGTTGAGTTTGGGTCCCACATGGAGGCTGGAGCCGCAGGATGGATGACTGCAGAGCAAAGAGAGAAGGGGCATGTGCAAACTTCGCAAAGTACACCACAAGCGCCAGCTTGCAAAGCTCACAAGCGGAGACTGCAGTCCATCCCGCTTCCACGCTGTCACATAATACGAGATGCTGGAAGTTGTGAAGCAATGTGTTTAAGTATAAATAGTCACCACTGGCTTGAAGAAGTAAAACTGTTCTCTCAGTTCAGTCAACACATTGCTTGCTGGGGAAGCTGAGAAGCCAATGGCCTCGACTCACCAGTGATTTCTCCCTGCAAAATGAAAGCAGGCAATAATTTGGTGTGTAATATTGTCTATTAGGTGGCGCATAAAGGCCTGCATTGTATGTTCATACTGTAGCTGTATAGAAAACATTACAGAATGAGCCTGCTTTTAGCCTGATGCCTCATACAGCGGTAATTAAGGAGAACAGCCTTTTGATTTGCTACTATTTGCAGTTCTGCAGGAAAAACAGAGTTTAGGCCATCTTGTGCTGTGCATTGTTGCTATGCTTAATCTCCTGATTTGCCTGCAACAATTACGAGCAGCACCTATGGAGCATTTAATTGCTTGCCTTCCTATTCTGCGACAATTGTAATTACTGTGCAGCGGTTTGGTGTTTTGCTGTGGGGTGTTCTTTGTTGTTTTCTCGCAAGGACGCACACATCCACCCCCCAACTAGGGTAGCTTATTTTCTTTTAGGACATGGAACTGAAGAGCACCCAAAGAACGGTTTATAAACACTTGCCCCTCCCCCCCAAAAAATATGTGGGCTAGGGGTTGGCTCTTCCTCACTGGAGGTCTTTAAGCAGTAAGTAGACAGTGATCTCTTGAAGATACTCTACTTCTGGATCTCCTGAACTGAGCAGGGTGTTAGTTAGACTGCAGTGTCTACATGACCCCCTCAGTAGTGTCTCCTTCTCTATTGACATGGTTGTGGAGAAGCACACTCAACTTCCTTCCAGCTTGCCTGCCTAGATGGCTGTAAAAGAGGATTAAATTCATAGAGAGGGCTCTTAACAGCCACAATGGCTATGATTAGCTTCCACAGTATGAGGCAGCAATGCTTCTGAAAACCTGTTGCTGGAAAGCACAGGAGGGGAGACTACTGTTGTGCTTGAATTCTGCTTGCTGGTTTCCCACAAGCAACCGCTTGGCCACTGTGAGAGCAGGATGCTGGACTAGATGTTCTTATTTAAAGCAACAGCAGGAGTCAAGAGCCTTCTTTATTCAGGAACAATAGACACAGAGGCAGAAATCTAGCAGCTTAGACGACATCAAGACCTGGTACCCTTAGATGTTTGGAACATCTGTGCTGGCTGCAGCTGGTTAGAGTTGGAGTCGAAGAAGAAGAAGAAGAAGAAGAAGAAGAAGAAGAAGAAGAAGAGGAGTTTGGATTTGATATCCCGCCTTTCACTCCCTTTAAGGAGTCTCAAAGCGGCTAACATTCTCCTTTCCCTTCCTCCCCCACAACAAACACTCTGTGAGGTGAGTGGGGCTGAGAGACTTCAGAGAAGTGTGACTGGCCCAAGGTCACCCAGCAGCTGCATGTGGAGGAGCGGAGACGCAAACCCAGTTCCCCAGATTACGAGTCTACCGCTCTTAACCACTACACCACACTGGCTCCAACACATCTGCAGAACACCAGTCTGGGCAAAGCTGGTTTACAGAATACTATCTCTGAACATGGAGATTCAATTTTGCCTTCATGGCAAACAGTCAATGGCAGAGCTCTCCTCCGTGCATTTGTCTATTCCCTCTCTCTTGTGTGTGGGTTGTGCAGTTCTGACTCCAGGTTCGCGAGGGGGAGAGCAGGGCTACCCCATCCCCGCAATTGCCCTGCACTGCGCTCCCCCTCCACATATTGGGGAAGCCAACAGGGAAGCACACTAAATGTGCATAAGCTCTCCTTATACTGATTTTATGGGGCTTATTCAACTTTGGTTGTAGTTCAATGGTAGAACATCTGCTTTGCACACAGAAGGTCCAAGTCTCAATTCTCAGAATGTCCAGGTCCAGATGGGAAATCCTGGACAGCTGCTGCCAGTCAAGGTAGACAAGTGTGAGCTAGATGAACCAGTGGTCTGACCAATATAAGGCCATTTCCAGTGTTCCTATGGCATTAAGAAACCATCTGTTTCATTTTGGATTGTCATTCTGAATGGATTCTGCTCCAGCCGTGCTACATCCACAGTTCCAAACAAACAGTGGGTCTCTGCATCCCAGCATTGGATTGGAGTTCTGGTAGCACCAATTGCCTCTTTTAGTAGGGTAGGGGATTGAGCTCACTCCCTCTGTCCCTCCTAAACAAGTTTTTGGCAGTGTCCCAGCTTACACCATGGAACCATCACTTGGATTAAAGGCCATTCTCAGGAGCACATGGGCACTGGGCAGCCCACTGAAACATGCACATATTTCTGGACCTGGATTCAAAGATGGGATGAAACAAAATAAGGTGGGGGTTTGAATCTTGTTGACTAAGTTTTTAACCGGTCTTGTTTTTATCAGTAAGGTGTCTTGAGGGGAAAAGGTGGAGTACAAATAAATGAAAAAGAAGATGTAGTGGTGGCTGTCTAATCCTGGAGGCATTTCATCACCCTGAAGTATTTTCATTCACCTTTAATGACATCATCACATATTTAAATAATCTCATTGGTACATTGTGCCACAATGTCATCCTGTTTACCTCATGATGCCCAATTGGCTGGGATCACCCATGTGACTCATCCAAGAAGAAGAAAGACAGCAGCAGCCAGGGGGAAATGGCTTCAAAGCAGCAGCAGATATGGGAAACAACGAGAAGGATAAAAAAGGTGAATATTTGCGCTACATGTTTCCCAGGAATTGTTTTTACCCCACCAGACTCACTGCTTTCAACCTGAAAATTGCAACTGGATAATATTTAGCCAAGATTGGAGAATATGGTTTCTGGGTTCCTGAGAATCCCCTGTGAGAGTTTCTGGACATTGTTTTGCAAATTGCATTGTAAAGCGGACTCCTTATCTGAACAAACCTGGCAACAGAGCCCTGTAGAAGTAAACCTTATGTTCATCCAAACTTCTGACCAGCCAAACACTTTAGATATTAGGTAATTGAGGTTTCACTGTGTATGGATGTGAGGACAAGTTGGGCTTCCCCCTCCCTTGCAACACACCTTGTGATGCCAGCAGCTCATATGATTTACAGTCTACCAAAACAGTAATTCACAATAACAGCAGCATGATGAGATTAAAAAATGTTCCTCGGCTGATGATGAGAACTCACTGTTTGGCAGCACTGCCTGGAACATGAGATGAGACAATGAGCTGGAAATTGCCAAACAAGCAAGAAGAAGCTCATCTATAATCATGTCTTTGGAAGAGTCAAGCATACTGACTAAAAAGAGGCCTTTCTTCACATGGTGGGTTCTCTCCTTTCTCAAACAGGGACTAAGTAAAAAGCAATATGACAAATGGTATGATCCAGTGGAAAGAATATTGGACTTCAACCAATCAATCATGTTCATTGTTACAAACCAAAGATATACAGTGACAGCCAAGACAGAAACAATCACCCTGGTACACAGTTTTTATTGCTGTTCTGTGGGTTGCAGTTCCTGTCCAGATGTGTTCAAGGTATTACATTCTAGTAAATAATGTGGAAGATCCTAGGCAGCCTTGTTAGTGCAAATACATAATTTGGATTCACAAGAGTTTCTTATAACAACTTGGCAATACTACAGTGACCACAGATTGATGCCAGAATACAGTAAATGTTCTTACTTGAGGAAAAGTTGAGACAAAGGCATCCCATCTTTAAATTGCAGCCATAAATTTCCTGAGTGACCTCATTCAGGTCACTGTTTTCACTTTGACTGCCACACCAGTAACAAAATAAAAAAGAGAGAAAGATTTGGAGAGAACGTTGCCATGATTCTGGATATATTATTTTTATTTACCGTATTTTTCCGTCTATAAAATGCCCCCATGTATTTTGGGGCACTCAGATTTAAGAAAATGGGGGGAGGTGGCCTCATGTATAAGACACCCCCTAATTTTTGAGATTATTTTTTAGGGGGGAAACCTAGTCTTACACACTGAAAACTATGGTAATTTCTATCAAAACTTAATTATTCGCATTTTTAAGCAGTGTACATAAAAAAATTTGCAGAAAATGGACAATAAAACAAAACCCTACCTTAAAATGCATGCTGGAACAAAAAAAAAAAGACTTAGTTACGCACTTGAGGCAAGGAGGGTACCTTTCTAATCTCATGGGGGGGAGGGAGTTCCACAGGATTAGGCCCACTACACAGAACATGTTTTCTAGTAGTTATGACCCATGCATCAGAGCCTTGAAGGTTCTCCAACATGGAGATTCAACTAAACCGTTCTGCTAGCAGAATCCTATAAAAGGATTTCTGCTAGTACATTGGGGCTTACCTCTCCTCCTCCAGTAAATCCCTGTGACACCCAAATTGGCTTGGACTGAAAGTTAGCCACCTCTGATATGTGGATTTGAATGAACATAGGGGGGAAGCATGCACAAGTGCGTTTATTCTGCCACACTGTGTCCATACCCACTGCCCTCCACAAGTTTAAAGATGACTGCAGCAGAAGAGCCTGCTATACTCATGAAAGCTCCCATACATTTTGGAACCCCGGTTTTCCAGTGTTCCAGAACACACCGAAGGCTCCGCAAGTCCAGGGGTCTTCCTTGCTGCAGGGAAGCCTGATTTCCAAGGCTAGCTGGTGCTGATGAGAGTTGTAGTCTGGAGGGCTCTGAAGGCTAGCCTAGAGAATCATCAGAGGATGCACCTGAATATGTTCTAGAATTAAGGAGGCAATGTGAGTAGTGATATTGTACTTTACTAGCCACAATATTTTAGAAAAAATTGATTACAGCATTATGGAAACCCTACACTCTGGACATAGAATGGGCTACTCCTTCTAAAGAAAACAAAGAAAACCATCAAAGCTTAAATATGGTGCTTCAGGCTGATTTAGCCCCATTGACTAATAGCAGTAAATCCAGATTAACATTGTCTTGTCTGGGCTGCAGATTATGATTGCAAATGGAAATGGAGTTAATGAGTGTGTATCATGAGCTAGCTGCATCCTTTCTTAGTCAGCTGACACAAGGATAAACCATTGACCATTGCGTTGTGGAAAATAAGCACATAATTAATGCACAGTGTAAAATTGAACAGCTAACAGATGGATTAATTACAGACTGATTGTATGTCTGTATATATGTGTGTGTGTGTCACTGCTAACAAGAGACTATGACAAAGTTATTTTGAGATACGGATTTGATTTTGCAAAGAACTCAGGATATTTGCGAGGTTACTGAAAACTGTGCTTCCCCAATGAAAGTGTTAGCAAGCAGTGAATGATTTAGAGTGTGCCTAATTAAAAACAGATACCCATACATAAAGACACAATGAGGGTAAACAAGTAGCAGAGACCAGATTTGTTTCTAATAAATGTGGAGGCAATCACAACACAATGCAAAGACTCCCAGCACAAGGGGCAAAGTATCAGACATGCAATAAAAGCAAACTCTTTGAGAGAAATGTGTTTTCCTCAGCACAAATTGAGAATAGAGACAAAAGCAAAATACATTAATGAACATGCAGCTGTAAGATAAAGGCCTGATGGTGGTAGTGGTGGTGGTGATGGTGGTGGTGATGATCACGCAGAAACAAACTTCTTGCTTGATTCTTCCCCGTGAATGTACAAAACAGGACTTGACAACAGATTGCTTTGTGACACTGGGAATAAATGAACAAAAATTGAATTTCAAAACAGATCTCAACGTTGAATGCAGCATAATCACACAGCCAGCAGAGACAAAAAGATTAGTGATTGCCCACTGTTAGCACTGCAAATTAGGCTTGTTTCACAAAACAAGTCCGTGCTACAAAGCTATGCTGGCATGACAGCGTAAGGACAGATGCCACTCATAGTCTGAAAAGCAGCAAGGCAGGGAATTTCATGTGCAGTTGGGTTAAAGAGGAGTTTGCAAACACAGATAATCCAATCGGTCTGAAACCTTTCTAGCAGTAAGAACAGAAGAGACACTCTTCTTGATAGCACACTATACGGAACAATAACTCATTGGCTTCTTCATGATCCCCCACATTGCATGGATGTATCTGCATTCAGAGTGTCACATTATGGTTTATAGTTCTGCACTTACGCCATAGTCATTAGGACCCATGCAACCCATTAGTTTTCAGATGCAATAAGTAGTAGATAGAAGAGAGCTTCAAGGATTTAATGGTTCACAATGACCTAAAAACGCATGTCATTGTACATAAATATATTCACGCACGCACGCCCCCCCTTATTTTCTAACCCATTAACTGAATTTGGTATCCTTCTCAAAGTTATGACAAAAACAACAGCCTAAACTCAGGTAATGCAAGTTATCTTTTTAAAATTATGTTTGTATTTTGATCACAATCAGCATTTGCCAAACATTTACCAATGATGAAAAACTCAAGCAGCAGGAATCTCAAACTCCAAATCTTGGACCTACTTTTGTTGTTGATTATACCATAAAACAGTGAAGCATTATAGGATACAAGTTGACTTGAAAGTTTGCTTGCTAACAAGATCCAGGGATATTATACACATATGTTCTATAGGACAGACGTCTTTAAAGTTTTTAGACCTGAACTCTCCTTTAACCCCAACCTGTGACAAGGGACCCACTTTTAATATTATGTATATCAGTTTCTCTCTCTGTCTGTTTGTCTCTTTTCCTTCTTTCTGTCTCTCTCCATCATTCTCCTTCTATTAAGCAGCACAATCATAGACATCTACTTGGAATTCTTACTGAAGTAGTACATACAGGAATGCTATTGGTGTAGCCCACCTTTATATTATTTATTGGTCATTATTACATCCCACCCTTTCTCCCAAAAAGGAACATAGAGAAGCTAGCAACATAAAACAATGCATTAATCATAAAAACATATAAAACATCAAACAGATCCACATCCATAAAAATAGCAGCAGATACTACC